GTTCTTTCTGATTTGCATGAGGCTGAAACTATTTGAAATATCAAGTGAATTTAATCATAATTCCCAAGTTATCTTGATTTGAGAGTGATGCAAATGCTTGGGTATTAAAGATAGTGATATCAGCTGCTTATCTGTGGCCAGGACAGGGTAAGCACTGAGTACAAAGACTTTTTTTTGGTTTCCTTCCTGATGGAAGTTTCTCCTTTGTCTACAATAAGAGAATACACAAGAAATGACATGATAACACTTAAAAAGTGCTTCAGATTTGTGGTCTACAATATTACATTTAATGTGCTCCTGTGATCATATAATACTCTCTACAAGGGGAGATATTGACAGATGAGGAAACTGAGCTTCAAAGAGAAGAGATTTAGTGAGTAAATGACAGGGATTAAAAATTTATCCAGGGCTTTTCCCAGTATTACCACCTCTACCGCCCTAAACAATGGCTCTGGTAACTAGACATTAATGCTTGCTTTCATGAGTTTATTAAGTATAATTGCAACTGGGAAGCCAAATCATAGTGGGAAAGAGATTTTTTTTCCGCTCAAATTCCAAGTTTTCTAGTGCTGCCTCAGCATGCTGCGTCCCTTTGCCAGGACCATGTTCCCTACTCTTCAAAAGTAACCTCACAGACTCCTGGGAGCTAGCATGAACTGGGTCCAGAGGGACTTGGAAGAACCATGTTCCCTACTCTTCAAAAGTAACCTCACAGACGCCTGGGAGCTAGCATGAACTGGGTCCAGAGGGACTTGGAAGAAGCTTTCTTCCTTTTTCTCAGGAAAAGTAAGTATTTTTGTCTCTAGGAAAAAAACAAAAAACAAACAAAAAAAAACAATAGCCTTGATTTCGTTCACAACGTCTAGCCTTTCCCTTTACAGATGTTTGTTTACTAAAAATTTGGAGGTAGGTAGAACTTTCACAGCTGAATCCAGGCATGTGCTCATAGATTCTGCCTCTCCAGAGGCAGCAAACAGTTCCTGAAAAGACAGAGTTTATGTCCTTATGTTACGGGATAACAAAAGCCCCGGTACCAGAAATGGTTACACATGAGGTACCGGGGCTTTTACTTATCCCTGTAACATTTTCACCAGGCTTTTAGAAGATTCTAGTGATCTTTATTTTATTTAAGTCCTACAAAAATGGTGAGGAGAGGCAAAAGATATATCCCCTTCAGAGAGCAATCCAAGAATAAAGAACATCTAACCAGGTCCCTCGTTTCAATGTGATGGTAAAAACGTAATCTAAGACAAGTAATATTTGAGTATGTTGTGTTCAGAGATTCAAATGTATCAGAAGCTTGCAGAAACCATTATCTTTCCTGGCTAAAACAGGAATAATGCATTAGCCACTGGACCATTTCAAAGAGAAAATCCTAGATGGAATGGAAGTCTAACTCTCCCCAGGACAAATTTACAAAAGATTATCAATGAGTACCATGCAAATAAGATGCCTTTAATATTTGAAGAACACTTTTTGAAATATTAACTTGCCTTATGTCTATTTTAATAGCAGATTAGTAGAGAAAGTCAAATATACAAAAACCCAATGATTTTTGTCAAATGATCAGGGAATATTTGTATTAACAATGACATAACTGATAATATGACAGGCTCATATGAAGCAATATAAATGCTTGCACCTATGGGGGAAGAGAAACAGAGAGATAATAAAGAGGGCAAACTCTTGTACCAGTTAAAAGTCTATAAGAAAATTTAGAATTATTCACTAAATCATTACTTTAAATGCAATTGCAAAAAAGCTATACTTGTCAAAGTGGACAGACTCATCATTGACACAACTAGTTGATTCAGATGATTCACAAAATCACAGAATTTGTGAGTTGGGGAAGTCTGTTGACTGTAAGTCCTTCGACTCCCCCATTTTAGAGGTAAGGAAATTATTAAAAAACTAAACTCATAAATTAGAGATTTCACTGACTTTACTGAGCAACTCATGAATCAGACAGTATCCTGTCTGCGGAAGGGCTTATACAAAATGGAGGGTAATTATAGACACAGAGAGGGTGGGACAAGGTTATTAGCAAAAGAAAGATTATTTCAGGTAAACTGTCTTCCCTAGGGCAGGCAGGGGTGGGAGTAACTTGTCTTGTAGATTACCTCACTGATGTTGATCTGGAAACTCCAGAGCAACTGCTTTAGGATTACATTTTTGGGAGAGTTTGAAACTGCAATGAAATTAGGTATTAAGTCTGGGAGTGGACCCAGAAAGGACTGGCTCTATTTTTGGAACTGTTTTTTCTATTTTTAACAAAACTATTAATGGAATTAGTTAGACTAAAATTCAATTCTTTCATTTCCCTCTCCAGTACGCTGCCTGTCTACATTGCTACATTTTGTCTGATATCAATGTTCTTTATCCAAACATAAATTATCTGTCAGAATTAGGTGAGCTGCAAGTTGATTGGATAATAAGGAAATCCATCTGAGATGTAGAAATTGATTCCCAAAACTCCTCAAATAAAAAACAATGCATACACAGAAAATCAGAGTTCATTGTTGTAGCCTCGACAATTGGATAGTTAGGAAGGTGTATAATTTCTGCTATCTAAACTGGATCCTCTCTGCTATCATTTAATCAGTTCTTTTTTATCCAGTATACATGGAAAAGCAACAGAGGCTCACTACTACAAGCCAAACATTCTTATATCTGCTGGTCATTGAAATAACTTGGGTATTCTGTTATGATAATAGCATTTCCCACCTTCTGGGAGCATTAAATCAGAAAACTTAACAGCAGGAACTATAACTTAAACTCATTATGAATCTCAAAAATTTATATTTTCTAGTAAAGAATTAGGCACAAGTAAACATAAAAAGCCTCAAATGTTTGTTGGAACAAACAATTAAGTTTATTGATTGACCTGTTACCTTAAGTAATTCAATCACACTGTTTGGAGTGCTATATATAATACAATTTTCTAAAAAAACAAAAAATCACAGTTGAAAGGATTTAAAAAAAAACAAAACCCTTTCTCCAAATTACCTGAAATTCCATTTTGTCAAGCTGCCAAATACAGATCAGAGATACTTAAGTTAATAGAATATTCAATGCCATCAGGTTGACTAAGTCTACACAAAACCCAAAACATCTGGTCCATCCTTTAAACAGAATCTCTCAGTTACTAGGTAGTTAACCTACAGAAACACAGACTTTCAGACAGATTAATTCTGCCTTGAATTGGAACAACTCCTTTAGCATAAGGTAGATGTGGCTG